GACTTGAGTATTACCTATGAAGATTTGAATAGGCTCGTATATATAGAAGCGGTTATAAAAGAAGGTATATAACATTTTAAATTTTTTTTATGTTATTTAAGCGTTTATTAACTATGCAATTATTTTTTAGTACTAAGGCTTAGACCGGCAACATTGACAATCTCGCGTTTTTCGGCATATCGTGATCAATTTGACGGGTACGAAATTCCCTCATCGACACAAGTTGCAATAAACGTTGTCGGTTTACACAAGAATCAAAATTATTGGAACGAACCCGAAAATTTTAATCCCTCAAGATTTTTAGAAACCAGCGTTGATAAGAACTATAACAGAAATGCATTTATGTATTTTGGCGGTGGATTACGCACATGCCCAGCTAAACAATTCGCAATGGTAGAACTCAAAATGATGGTAGTTTTGCTGTACAATAAATACGCTTTTGAAGTAACCACTAAAAATCCTTCAACGAATTACAATGTTAATCTTCAATGCGAAGAGCTAATGATTAGGATTAAACACAGAAGATAGGACAGCAGGGGACAATATTTACAAACATTTTAATTTATAATGAATTTATTTGTTATATGTGACAGAAATATATGGATAAATAAAACGTTGAATTATGCGCGGAAATCGGCAACGGCATACGTATTAAAGCAACTCCGCTAATCAATTCTATATTAAATTTTTAGTTTTCGATAAAAGCTGTCTACTCAACTTGACCGATAGTAACTGTCACTATGATAGCAGTAAGTGTTGTCAGATATTAAGAATGTAATACTTATATGATACATTTGAGCAATTGCTAGCGGCACTATTATGCATCAAAAATCTTATCGGTCATAGTTGGTAGTACATGTAACATAATGTGACCAAGGAGGAATTGGAATGAAGCAGTGTAACTGTGGGTCAAAGCAGCATTGCAATCACCTTCACTGCTGTTTCGACAAAACCACAAATGCGTGTTGGAATGATTAAGCACAAAGTTCCTGAAAACGTCCCGGATATGAATGTTTTTACAAAAAATGTAATTGGATACAAATTGCAATCCACGATTTATCCTAACAATGTTAACTATTATATGCAATATCTCAAACGTTATCGGTTTCTCCATTCAAGAAGAGGTCTTTTCTATATTATAGCGCAGTACCATCTCGGATAAATTCTGATCCGATTAATACTATCTCCGTTATCTTGTGTAACCATATACGATGATCTGGCCGAAAGGAAAACATACTTTGCAAACATCTACAAAATGTCGAAAAGAATAGTTAAGAATATAAAACAAATATTTCATCATGTACATCATCAGGAAGGAGTTGAAAGAGCACATTTTCATCATAACGTATGGTATGAACAAAATCTCAAATATGATGGTCAAAATGAAATTAAAGCGGGTGAAGTGTATGAAAAAATTGCCGCAGAACAAGGGTATGCTGATGCACAAAACAATCTTGCTGTGCGCTATTGTAAAGGGGTTGGGGTGGAAAAGGATTATCAAAAGGCGTTTGAGTTACTGCAAAAAGCTGCACACCAAGGACTTGCCTGTGCACAGTATAATCTTGGTGTATGTTACAGTAAAGCAGCCGGAGTAGAAAGAGATTACCAAAAAGCGGTCGAATGTTTTCAAAAAGCAGCTAATCAAGGGGATGCTAATGCACAATTTAATTTGGCTGTATTATATTACAAAGGGGATGGAATTGTTAAGAACTATCAGAAGGCTGTTGAATTGTATCAGAAAGCTGTTGAGCAAGGACACACCAAAGCACAATATCATCTAGGTTGGTGTTATTTGAATGGAATGGGAACAGATAAAAATATTCAAAAAGCTATAGAACTGCTTCAAACTGCAGCTGAACGAGGGTATTCCAAAGCACAATATTATCTTGGTACATGTTATGAATATGGCAATGGTGTAGACAAGGATAACTTTATGGCTACTGAATTATATCAAAATGCTGCCAAACAAGGTGATGCAAGAGCACAATATAGGCTTGGTATGTGTTATGAGAACGGAACTGGAGTAGGAAAAAGTGATCAAAAAGCAGTTGAGCTATATAAGAAAGTTGCCAAACAAGGGTATGCAAGAGCACAATATAGTCTTGGTTTATGCTATAAAAAGGGAATTGGAGTAGAAAGAGATGAACAAAAAGCAGTTGAATTGTTTCAAGCTGCAGCTATGCAAGGAGACATTGATGCACAATACAATCTTGGTGTGTGTTATAATGGCGGAATAGGAATTGAAAAGATGTTGAAATAGCAGTTACATTGTATCAAAACATTATAAATCAAGGATATGTTGATGGACAATATAATCAAACAATAACAAAACAAACATACATTAGAACACAATGTAATCTTGGTATCTGTTATCAGAATGGAACAAGAGTAGAGAAAAATATGCAAAAAGCAGTTGAATTGTATCAAGCAGCTGCTGAACAAGGGTATTCTAGGGCTCAATATTATCTTGGTGTTTGTTATGACTATGGGTTTGGAGTGAAAAAGGACATTGGAAAGGCAATGGAATTATATCAAATGGCTGCTGAACAAGGAGATTCCTATGCACAAAATATTCTTGGAACCTATGATTATAATAAAACTGGTGCAGAAACAGATAATAATGATTAACAGTCAAGCACTCAATAAAAATCATGGACACTCAATCCCACTGAGCCAGCTTTTTTAGCAAAAATGTGGATAGGAGCAGTTGCTAAATCAAACACTACTATTACTATGCAATGAATGTTTAAGTGTGTAATGAATACATATATGGTGGGGGTATTAATATATTTTTATATTGAGTAGTAATTACCTTTATTAATATGAGTTATTATCATGCCTTGATAATAATAACCAAGCTTGTTAATTATATGACAGCATTCAAAAAGCTTGCTTTAAGGTCAGGATAATATGTTATTACTTGCAGCAGCAACCATTTATTAGTATACATTGAAGTTAAGGTTTTGTTAAACTAAATCAATTACCAACTGTAGGACTTGATCTTACACAATGATAAAAATTGTTGATACAATAACCATTCATTATTCTGAGCATGTAAGATATATACCATAATTTTTGGAATAAGCATATTTATAATTTATATTGTCTTATTACCTTATTACTATGATCTACAAATTGTCATATAGCATATTAATATTGTTGATGCATCAATATTAAAAGTTGACTGCTTATCTTTAACTGTTAAGCATAAACTTATGATGTAAAACATTAGTCAGCATTAAATTTATCTCAAACATGAAATTGTAATTGCATTTAGCTTGAAACTTTATAATTATAATAAGAAATATTTAGTAATTTTCAGTTTATAAATGAAGAGAACAATAAACAACTGACACTATTATGATAATTAAATTTACTTTTTTATAATTTATGTTATGCAGAATTAACCTTATTCGCTCAAAAAGAACGTGACAGTCTACTCATGTTAATGTCAATGAATGGAGTCTCCTTTTAAAGCAATAATTCATCTATTGTCTTACATACAATACAAATACAATCTTTTCGTTTGTTCATATTGGCTTTGCTCTTCTTTTCATATCCTTTATTTTAAAAAAACTGACATTCCCGCTGCTGCTTTTTTTGTGGCTGAAATTCTCAAAAATTTGCCCTCAAAATTAACCAATGATCGCACATAATTGCTGCGCAGGCAGATCTGATATTAATGCCGTCCGTACATGGCATAATAGGGGCAGAAATTTTTATGTATGATTAATAATCTGTTGTGGCATTGCGAAATTTCTGACACCCTTTTCTTGTTACACTAATTCGGAAACAGGCGCCCCCCCCAAAATTAGCGATCTCGAACATGCTTTAACCTAACCTTACTTATATTAATTACTATTTGTTTATCTTCATACCTGCAGCTGAATCCAAATCATAACTATTTCTCGGTTTAGGTAAATTTCCAGTATGTAGGAGTTTACTAGAGTATTTACTTTCCTTCTCGAGACGTGATAATGGCTTTACATGATTATGATATATAGTATTCCACACATTGTCACTAGA